CGCGCCGGGGGCGCCGCCGCTGCGCCGGGAGACGCGGCCGGGCGCGGCCGGGGGCCCCGGCGAGGGCGGCGCCTTGCCCGCGAGGCTGGGCGAGCGCGGAGCGGCGGGCGCCGGGGCTCGGCCCGAGGAAGGGGCGGCCGGGCCGGGGGCCGCGGGCCGGCCGTGCAGGTCCTTGAGAAATGGCCTGGCGGGCGAGGGCGCGCGGTGCAGCCGCCTTCGCTCGGCCAGCGGGTGGAGATAGTGGTGGCGGTGGTGCTGGCCGGGCGGCTGCGGCTTCGCATCCGGGGCGCCGCCGGCCGCAGGGCCATTCAGCGTCTCCATGGCCGGGACCCAGGCCGCGAGCAGCAGCTCAGGCGGCGGATGCTCCGGGCGGCGGCGGCGTGCAGCCTCCCCGCACGCCCGCTCATCACTGTCCGCCAGCCCCGCCCGGTGTGCGCCTCGCACTCCCGCGCCGCCGCCGTCCCCCGCACCCCGGCCTCGAGGATCCCCGCGGGGCTCGCGGCCTCCGTCTCCCGGCTCTCCTCCGGCTGAGGTCACCCGCGTTCGCGTTCTCCGGGCGCGGCGGCGCGGCGGCTCCCTGCCGCTCGCATCCTCTGCGCGCGGCGCGCCGGGCTCGCACACCCGCCCTAGTCCAGCGGCAGCGACGCTGGCGGCGCGCTCCCCGCTCCCGCGCCTCGCTCTCCGCCCAGCCCGCTCTCCGCAGCACCGCCCGCTCGGGCCCGCGCCCCCCTCTCAGCGCGGGCCCGCCGCCCGGTGCGCATGTCCCGCCTCCCGCCAGCCGGCGCCGCGATGGGGGCGGGGCTGCGCTCCCGGACTGCGCGCCGGCTGTGGCCCCCGGCCCTCTCCGCCCTGGGACCCTCGTGCTTTTGGAGGCCGGGGAGGCAGTACGGGAGCTGGGAAGGGGCAGAGGTGAACTGGGGGGGCGGGCGCTGCCCCCCGGGGTGGCGGCAACCTGGAGGTCCGGGAGGGTGCCTGGGCCCCAATGCGGGGTGCACTCTCGGGGCGCCGACGTCCCCTCCGCGGAACAACGCCGCCCCACAGGCCCCCGCATCCAGGCCGGCCTCCCACGGCCCCTTAGTTCCGCCCCACCGTCCTCTCCCTCAGGGCCGAAGTCTCCACCTTCCTTTAAGGAGTGCTGGGACCCGACGCAGCTACCTATCGGGTCCAGAGGCGCACGGGGCTCAAGAGTTGGCACCCCAGTGGCCTCTGGAGCTCAGAGGAGGAGCCGCTGTTGGAGTAGGAGAAGCATCTCGCCAAGTTTGGCGTCAGAAAGGGAACTCACATTTAGTGTCGGCTGCAAGCCAGGCCCTGTTAGACACTCCAGCAACTCGGGCAGCGGCATTGTTTCATTTCATCCTCATAACAAACCCGACTACGAATTACTTCTGTCTTCTTGAAGGATGAGTACATGGGTGCGGGAGGTGAAGTCAGTGCCGCAGCCAGTGCACGCTGGCTGGGACTCATGCCCGAGTCTGTGCAGTGTTCAGTCCTACGTGCTGTCCCCTCGGAGAACCCGGAGCTTGAGCGCCGCTTCGACCACAGGAGATTCTAGCCTGGCTCACTGACCTTTTCAAGCCTCTGTATAATTAGAAAATACCTCCACCTGAGTGTGGGGCGTGACTCAGCAAGGATGAGAAAACACTGTGTAAGCTGTAAAGTGCAGTCCTATATCACTGAGTGCAGCTTTTGTCCCAGGTGTTGGTTCGTAATAGAAAAGAACCTTCGTGTCCTATTACAAATTAATCACTAAAGGGATGTTGCCTATAAGCTTAAATTATACATAATGACCCGCCCATCTCTGGGAACCCCACCTCCCAGGGAATGAGCTTTAAGCTAAAACACCTTTGTTAAGCTCACAGGAAACCTCCTGACCAGGCCCACCTGTGAATGGCTGCAGGAAGGAAGAAATTAACACATTCCCCTCCAAGTTTGGCCAGAAACACGACTCTATCTCCTTCCCCTTTCAGTATAAAAGAATCCTGAATTGTAACTTGGAGAAGATGGCTCTTTGGGACATGAGGCCACCATCTCCTGGCCTGCTGGCTTTTTTTTTCTTTAAGATTTATTTATTTATTTTTATTTTTGGGGGCTGTGTTGGGTCTTCGTCGCTGTGCGTGGGCTTTCTCTAGTTGCGGCACGCAGGGGCTACTATTCGTTGCGGTGCACGGGCTTCTCATTGCGGTGGCTTCTCTTGTTGCAGAGCACGGTTTCTAGGCGCACAGGATTCAATAGTTGTGGCTCGAGGGCTCTAGAGCGCAGGCTCAGTAGTTGTGGTGCATGGGCTTAGCTGCTCCGAGGCATGTGGGATCTTCCCGGCTCAGGTCTCGAACCTGTGTCCCCTGCATTGTGGCCTGCTGGCTTTCTGAATAAAGTCGCTACTCCTTGCCCCAACAGCTCACCTCTGGATTTATTGGCCGGTTGTGCAGCGAGCAGTACAAACTTGGACTCAGTAACAGGATGGTGGGCAATACTCAGAGGAATAAGGGCCAGCCTGCCGTCTAGACTTGGCTTTGCTGGGAGGCAAAGGCGGGCAGTGCTTACAAGTTGCTGGGGTCGGCACGGACCCTGACCCCGGAAGGATGGGCTGGTCTAGTAGGTGAGTACCCAGGTAGGTGGGACATTATCCTCGAGGCTGGGGGGGCCTTTGGAGGATGCTGAGCATGACTGATCTCTACTTAGGGAGATCCCACTGGCCGCAGCAGCAATGAGAAGGAGGCAGGTGACAGGGAGCAGTTAGCAGCTGCGGCCAAAAGCGCAGATGAGGGCAGTGGTAGTAGGAATAGAGAAAGGGGGACAGATTTTTGAAGATAAAAGGAAAAATAGAACCTATAAGGGAAAAGAATCTGAAAAAGAATATATCTATATGTATAACTGAATCACTGTGCTGTATACCTGAAACTAACACAACATGGTAAATCAACTATACTTCAGTAAAAATATATGTACATAAAAAATAAATAAAATGTTAAAAAAAAAAGGGAAAACATAGACTCCAAAGTCTGTGATCTTAACCTTAAATCACCCTACTTAGCCACCTCCTTCAAAAAGTGCGGGACAGGGCTTCCCTGGTGGTGCAGTGGTTGAGAGTCCGCCTGCCGATGCAGGGGACACGGGTTCGTGCCCCGGTCCAGGAAGATCCCGCATGCCGCGGAGCGGCTGGGCCCGTGAGCCATGGCCGCTGGGCCTGCGCGTCTGGAGCCTGTGCTCTGCAACGGGAGAGGCCACAACAGTGAGAAGCCAGCGTACCGCAAAAAAAAAAAAAAAAAAAAAAAGAAAGTGCAGGACAAAGTCATCACTGACGCAATAGCTAATAAGACCACAGCCATCTATCATGGGGTATTTGGAGAAAAAGGACACAGGTGGTGACAACAGTGCAGAAAGGCTGACAGGTGCCCTGCTCCCACGCCAGGCCCATCCAGCTCTCCCTAGAGGGCGCTCTAACTCTCCCTGGTGCCCAGTGATTAATCAGAAAGCGGCCGCCATCAGTCCCCAGAGCACAGCCCCCTAGAACTCTAGGACCTTCTCCTCGACCTTCTTCCAGAGACACAGACGTCCCTGACACCCTCACATTTCTCAAGAATTATGTCCAGGACACTTAGCACAAGCTTGCCAGCTCTCACACCGCATCTAATCATGCAAAAGACCAGCTCAAAAATGTTTCGGTAAGCTAGTCTTCCAAAATTATCAGCGAGGTGACCATACTCTTTGTCGCCAGCTTCCTTTCCCTCAGCTAGTAAGTCAAACAAACTTCATCCTCTGAACGATTAGCCTGGCGATTGTTTCCATTGGACCTTGGCAAGGCGGTGTCCAGGAATGCTTCCTTTGTTCCCAGCAGTCAGTGCGTTACAGGTGTACCAGATACCTGCTTGCATCATAGGTTTTTAAAGTCACAGATGATTTTAAAATAACGTTTTGTTCTTGTTAAATCAACTTAGTCTTAAGGCATTAGGGGTTTGCTATTTAAAGGAGCCTTAAAGTGCTTTGTTCTGGAAAACAACAACAAAATCCAGTGTGGGTGTGGCTGTTCGGGTCTGTCTGCCCTCAGACCCTGCCCCCTGCTCTGTGTAGCCAGGGAACAACCCACAAAGGTGGGCTTGCTGGGCTCCTGGGTTTGCTGATTGGGTTTGGCCTCTGAGAGGTGCGGTCAGGAGATTGGAAGGTAACAGCAAAGAAGACATCAGGGGATTTCTTATCCTCTCTCTGTGCCTCAAGTGGCTTCTGAGCGGCTGGGTCTCCTCTGCGGACTGGCCTGTTGGGGTTCCAGCTTTCCCCAGATGACCTGCTCCTACCGGTAACTTCATCTCCTCACAAGCCTCTCAGTCAAGGATGGTTATGGCTTCCTGGGGCTGCAAATCTGTGGGTGACGTCACTGCCCCTGTTCGGCCCTTGATCCCCCCAGCCCATAACCAGTCCCTGCACTGCAGTGCCTGTCTAGGGCCTGCATGCAGCACTGGTGTGAAGAATAGTTTGGGGAGATAAATTAGGAGCATGGGGTTAACATACAGACACTACTACATATAAAATAGATAACAAACAAAAAAAATAGATAACCAACAAGGACCTACTGTATAGCACAGGGATATACTCAGTATTCTGTAATAACCTATTAGGGAAAAGAATCTGAAAAAGAATGAATATATATATGAATATGTATAACTGAAAAGAAAATATATTACAAATATTCACTGAAAAATAAAGAGAAGATTCGGATTAAATAAATATTTAATTTTTTTTCTAAAAGAATTTTTTCTAAAAAGGCTTTTTTCTAAAAAGCCTTGTCAAAGAGCAGCGCATTACAGCAGCAAGAGCTGAGATTTTGCCACCAGGCAGATCTGGGGCAAATCCTGCCTAAGTCACTTGCACCGTGTGTGGCCTTGGGTAAAGTATTATCATCAATATCATCATCATCACTATGATTTAATACCAGTGGCGTAATCTCCAATACTCTAAAATGTGAGCAAAGCGACCTTGGAGTGAGAGTTAGAAATCTAGTCTGTGTCTGTACAGTTATATAAAGCGAAACAAATTTTTTTTTCTTGTTTGACTCATAGAGGGGAAAAACATGACTGCCTCTGGACGACAGAGTTCTTTGCAGAACTTCTGCACCATCAAAACCTTGTCCACAGTACTTATCTATTTTCCAGTTATTTCCCTTATTGTAACACAAAGGCACTTTAGAATGTGAAATCATTCCTGGTCTAAGTCAGAAGAAGTCATCCTCTTTGAAAAGAGTGGAAAGAAGAGACTTTTAACAGAGTGGGCTATTTCTTTGGCGCCTCAGGAAAGGTGGGGTTGAAAAGGGACAGCTGGAAGTCAGGTGGCCCTCGTGGGGTGCAGGTGCCTCCCAGCTGCCCATGCAGGGTTACTGCCAAAATGCCACGTGGGACTTGATGCAGGCCAGTCCTACAAGGGCCCACAGACCCCTTCACATGGCCAGACTGGCCCCTGTATATGGCATGGCGGTGGTCATGATGATGGCTTCAGAGGCTCAAAAATCTTGAGGACACCAGAAGCACCTGGGGAGCTTGTTACAAATGCAGGTTCTATGGCCACACGCCCTGGAGCTCTGATTTCAAAGGTGTGGAGTGGCGCCCCAATCTGAACTTTTGCAGTACGCGGGCCTCTCACCGTTGTGGCCTCTCCCGTTGTGGAGCACAGGCTCCGGACGCGCAGGCTCAGCGGCCATGGC